GAGCCCGTGCATTGAGCCAGGCAAACCGAATCCTGTTGGTTTTGCTTTCCCTTTCCCTTCCCYTCCCAAGCCGTGAATTCCCCCAGTTCCCTGCAAACCTCGGTCTTGTTTAATGTTAAAAAGGAACACAAAAGCCCAGCAAAACCCGGCTTAGGGAGGTGTTCACCGCTCGGGTTTTTCCTGCCTGAAACCTTTGCAATATTCCSGTTCTCCAGGAGGAGGCTGAGGAGGAGAAATCCTTCCATTTGAAATTCCCACCCTGCCCATCTTCCCSTGGCTTTGCAGCGATGTTGTTAAAGCGTCTTTGGTGGCTCAGATTTTGTCAGCTCCAGAGGTTTCTGTTTCCTCCTGGCACCACAACCTGGCCGGCCAAACCCTCCTGACATCCCTGCAAGGGCTTTGGAGGGAGGGGAAGGGGGGTCTGAGAGAGGGGAAATGTCTGAGGGAGGGAAAAGGCTGGAAAAAAGGAGAAAATGAGAAAAGGCACCATTTTTGCTCTGTGCCAGCACTTGGTCGTCACTTGGGAGATGGGGAAATTCCTCCCTCCATTCCAGACCCCAAAATTGTTCCCTCCATTCCTGACCCCAAAATTCCTCCTTCTATTCCACACCCCAAAATTCCTCCCTCTATTCCAGACCCCAAAATTCCTCCCTCCATTCCAGACCCCAAAATTCCTCTCTCCATTCCAGACCCCAATCCTGCCCTGGGTTTTTGGGTGTGCTGTTTGCCCAGAGTTTTAAATGACAACAAAAGGCTTTTTTCCCCAAAACCTGTGGCTGGTTTTGCTTTCTGCTCTCCCCCACCAGCACTGATGCTCGTGGCTGGAATTGTTGGGTGATGCCATGGAGCAGCTCTGGCACCTTGGCACTGTCACTGACCCTGTGCCTCCTTCTCCTTTCAGTTTGGTGACCTCACATCCCTGTCCCCGACGCTGCTGGACAAAGGTACCTCGGGTTGGGATGGCCATGGGAGGGGGAAACTCGGGATGGGATGGGATGGGATGGGATGGGATGGGATGGGATGGGATGGGATGGGATGGGATGGGATGGGATGGGATGGGATGGGAACCCCACAATGGGATGGGAACCCTGGGTTGGGATGGGAATCCCACAATGGGATGGGAACCCCACAATGGGATGGGAACCCTGGGTTGGGATGGGAACCCTGGGTTGGGATGGGAACTCTGGGATGGGAACCCCCAGGCTGGGATGGGAACCCCACATTGGGCTGGAATGACCTTGGGATGGGATCCTGGGCTGGGATGGGAACCCCACATTGGGATGAGAACCCCAGATCGGGATGGGAACCCTGGACTTGGATGGGACCCCCAGGCTGGGATGGGAACCTTGGGATGGGATGAGAACCCCGCATTGGGATGGGAACCCCAGGCTGGGATGGGATCCCTGGACTGGAATGGGAACCCTGGATTGGGATGAGAACCCCGGGCTGGGATGGCCCTGGAAGGGGAACCCTGGGATGGGACCCTCGGGCAGGGATGGCTATGGAAGGGGGACCCCAGGCTGGCCGTGCTGGGGACAATCTGCTGGTGGCCCCGGTGGCCGCGCTGACACCCTGGCTGTCCTTTGCAGAGGACGGGGGCGAGCTGGGCGCCGAGGCGGACCCGGAGCGGGCGCTGGGGGAGCCGCTGGTGAAACGGGAGCGCAGCGAGCCCGGGCACTCCCTGCAGGAG